CCGGCCGCAAGGGCCAGGGCCGCTGGGCGTCAGGCAGGCGCGGGGACAGGGCACAGGGCAGCGAGGACACCGGGAGAAATGGGTGTGGGCTCTCGCAGTCTCGGCCGGAAAGAGCTGGGTCCTTCCAACGCTTCCCCTCTCTGTGGATCTGGGTTGTTACAAAACAGCCAAACCAAACCAAAGCCGTCAGTGAGAGGCCGGCTGCCACGGCGGGCCGTCTGCGAGGGGCTTCATTTGGAAACATCCTGATCCTTTTGGTTTGGCAAGAATTGGCTTTTCCCGCGCAGCAGCTGTGCAGGCCCAGGCCCTGAGAAGGACCCCGTCTTTGGTTTCCTCTTATCCTTCGGTAGCTGCTGGCTCTCTCTCTCCAAAGCTTGAGCGAAATTGGGGCGCCCACTCTTGTCCCCCTTCGGAAAGGCTTTCCTGGCCCCAGCATGCGTCTGCACCTCACCAATCTCGTGGTTAGCGCTGCCTCCTCCCCTCCCGCCACACTCAGCCCTGGCTGCGTCTCTGCCGCCTCCTGTCTCTCCGGCGGGTTTCAGCCTGCTTCAAGGTGTGCTCACCTCCATGGACAAGGCCCCCCATGGGGGCATCCCGTGTCCTGACCCAGGGCTCCTCACGCAGGTGCAGGGGCAGCTCCCAGGGGGCCTCTCCCTCTGGTCTGGGATGCTGGTGAGTCGGGAGGTGGGGTGGGCTGACCCAGGCAGAAGCAGTGGGCCTGGGGCTCAGTTTCCCCGGTGATCCTCCCTGCCTGGACCATCGCTTTCAGAGGTGGGTGGGCAGGGGAGGGGCAGAGAGAGGAGGGCGAGGGGCTGACTGTCTGGGACGGAGGGTGCCTGGGAAAGGGGACTGGTGGCTGCGAAGGGGAGGGTCCAGGACTCGGGTGGAAAAGCACTGACCCGTCGTGTCTGCTCTGTGCCATCTGCTCCCAGCTGGGCGCACTCTGCGAGCTGAGCCACTGGGCGTGAGGCGCTGCCAGCGAGGCTGTGCACCACTCTGTGTGCGGGTCAGGCTGCCGTGGCCGGAGGGCACTCTGGAGGGGGCGGGGCGGTTCTTGCCCCTAGGGAGGTGGGTGCTGATGTCAGGTCCGGGCATCTGGAGGGGGGAGGCACACCTCTATACCACCGGCCCTGTCCCCTCGTGTCCCGGTGCTGCTGGTCGGGGTGGACTCCGCAACATGTGTGGGGTCTTCCAGCCCTCTCAGCCCTCGAGGCTGGTACTGCCACTGCGGGCAGCGGCTGCTGGGCCCCAGGGGTCCCTTCTGGCTGAATGCGGCCATCATTGTCACCAGGCGGACTGGGCGAGGACCCAGCAAGTCCTCCTTTGCTTTCTGGGAGCATCCAGCCCCAGGACATTTGCTCTATGAACCTACCTGGTGCCCCTTGGAGCAGAATGACCCCCGTCCACAGCTGGGTTATGAAGTTCGGGGAACAGGTGGCCATGGGCTCCAGGGGTTTTCGTTCTGTGACCTCAGCCTCCAGCCAGGGCCCCTCCTCTTGGGGCACATCTAGGCTGCATCTTGTCTAACGGTTTAAGCTTGGGCATCACCGTTCTCCATGCAAGCGTCTGGCTTTTCTTTCCCCCCTGACGTGAGGAAATCCTGAAAGATTCAATTTACCTAATTAATGAGCTGCATTAACTAAGCAGGTGGGCCATGGAGTGTGGGGTCCACACTTTCGAAGTCTAGCAGGAAGCCAGTCTGCATGTCGCACCCCAGCCTGGGCTCTGTTGCTAGCCCCCAGAAGCTTCCTGAACGTCTCCTTCTGTGAAGTGGGGTCCTAGTGCTGTGAGTGGAGTCTGGGTGCTCAAAGCCAGCCCGTGGGGTTGGCCCCTGAGCCTTTCCGGAAGGCAGCCCTGGGCTGGGGGGAGCTTTGAGGGCCCTGAGTCTGGCTTTCCCTCCTGGCCAGGTGGCCCTGGACAGCCCTTAACCCTTCCTTCTGGGGGGCTGTGCTAATGAGGACCCTTGTGCCCGGCCCCACGCCCTCAGCCAGCCCACACCCAGAGGTGTCTTGCCCTCCTGTGGGGCCTCCTGTGGGGCCCCTGCGGAGTGTGAGCGGGTGGGCAGGCTGTGGCCCCGTGCCTGTGCCTCAGGCTCCTGGGAGCCTCCGCAGTGCCTCTCTGCCACCCGGCGCTGGGCTTTCCGCAGCGGGCAGTGCCTGGGGGAGGCGGGGCTGGAATCAGGGCGCTGACTGGCCCCTGTGGCTTGGGGCTGTCCTGCCCGGGCCCCTGAGCCCTTCCAGCCACGGTGGGGTGGTGGGCGGTGCCCAAACAAGGGGTCGGGCCTCCAGGGAGAGGCAGAGCAGGGTCTGTGCCTGTTCCCTCCGCCCGAGTCCTGGCCGCCCCGTTTCCCCGTCGGGACCTTGTGCTCGCGGCTTTACTCGTGGCAGCCCCCCTCTCAGTCCTGGTTTCAGTCAAAGGCCCTTGGCCGGGAGCCCGGTGGCCAGCTAGGGGAGGCCACCACTGTGCCCATAGTGAGGCGGGTGCTGGCAGAGGCCACCAGCCTGCCCTGGCCGGTCCCCGCGGGGTGCCCTCTGGGCCTCAGCGAGGGCTTCTGCTCTCTGGGCCTCAGGGTCCTCCTGGGACCAGGGCCAGGGCTGGCTTCTGCTCCTCAGCGGGTGGTCGGAGGCAGTGTCGCCCCACCCCAAGCCCCACCCCCTGTCAGGCAAAGAAGCCTGCACTGTCCGCGAACACTCCTTCCCGGAAGGAGGGGCTCTGGGGCGTCCGCGGAGCCGGCACCATGCTGGGGAAGACGGGCTTCCTCTGGCCTCAGGAGGCCCCAGGAGGCAGCACACCCTTCCCCCTGACCAGGGCCTGTCTTGACCTGGGGAGGGGCTGCCCAGGAGGCAGGAGACGGGCCGCGATGCTTCCGCACAGAGCCTGGACGGCATCCAGGGGTGGGGTCTGGCCGCATCTCTGTTCCCTCTGGGTGCTGTGGGGGGTCCAGGGGAAGCGAGAGGGTGGCCGGGGGGACGGGCTGGCTGGAAGGGTTTCAGAGAGACTTCTGAGGTGGAGCTGTTAGATTTGAGACAGGAGCCAGGACAGCGCTTAGGTTTCTGACCTACTGTCGGGGAGGGCGATGGTGGAATGACAGGGAGCCTGCCTGAGAGGGAGCTCCGGGGCCTGTACTCAGGGCCCCGAGGAGCAGCCCTTCCCCGTGTCCCTCTGCCCCAGGGGTCCAGAACGGGACCCTTCAGCGTGGTTGTGGGGTGGTGCCGGTGGCTCAGCCTCGTGAAGTGTGGGGTGACCAGGGTGACATACCTCTCCTCCCATCCTCCCAGCTCCCCTCCACCCCTGCCGGTCATGCACCTGACACCAGTGCCCCCCAGGGCAGCAGATGTCAACCTTCCCTCCCACCCCACCCCCTTCACTGCTACTCTCACCTCTGCAGCCCCCTTCCTGGCTGAGGCCTTGGGCCTCCCTCACCCCCACCTTCTGCACTTCCTCCCCAACACCTCCCACCATCCCGTGTCCAAATCCTGCCCACCCTTGGGCAGGCTGTGCCCCTCCCCCAGTCCCCTGGGAACTCTGGGAGTCTGGGCTCCTGGGCTACAGGAGGAGCTGCAGGTCACCCCTGCTGGAGGCGAGGCAGGGCAGGGTGGGAGGCAGGGCGTATGGGTGGGTCCTTCCTGTGCCAGGGCGTCCCTGCCAGGAGGCGCCCTGATGGGCGGGGAGCTGTGCTTGCGTTAGCCTGCCTGTCTGGCTGGGCGTCACAGGGTCTTCCAGGGTCCTCTCTGTCCTCCTGACCACATGTATGACTCCCACATGGTGGCCAGCTCAGGGAGAGAGACACCAGCAGGGTGACGTGGCCTCTGCTGGGCCTGTCCTGGCACTGGCTGGGCACACAGTTGAGCTGCCTGGGAGAGCGAGGGTTCTGGGCGCTCTGGGTAGCTGTCGGGGGTATGCCTGGCAGCACCAAGGTGTCTGGGGTGTCCTGAGGCCACCGTTCAGCCGAACCCCTGGGCTCTGGGCGGGGCTGACGTCCGTCTCAGCTGGCACCATGGAGCTCCCACCTGCAGTGTTCTTGGAGGGGCTCAGAATCATGAGCTGTATTCCTTCATCCAAGCCCCTCTTGGGGTCTGAGAGCATCAGGCACCACCGGGAAACAGGCGGGAGGCGGGGGGCTGCCAGGGCATCAGCACGAGCTTGAGGTCCCAGGTCCTCCTCCTTGAAGCAGGCTGAAACCTCCCTCCTCCACTGTTCTCTGCTCAGACCACCAGCTTCGCTGAGCTCAGCCCCTCTTGCCACTTCCTCTCTGCCCCCACCGTGCACACCTTCCTCCTCCTCTGTCCCCCGCCTCCTCTTGTCTCCTCTGCCGCTGTGGACCCCCCTCGCCTCCCCTCCCGGCCCCTGCCTGCCTGCCCGCCCGGCTGCTTGCTGCCCTGGCCGCCCCGCTTCGCTCTGCTCTGCAGTGTTGTGTCGTGAGCCCGGGCCGTGCTGCCGCCACCGCCACTCACTGCAAGGGTGGCCCTGACGGCAGCCTCTGCTTCCCCCCAGGGCCTTCGTGTACCTGAGCAACCTGCTGTACCCTGTGCCCCTGGTGCACCGTGTGGCCATCGTCAGCGAGAAGGGCGAGGTGAAGGGCTTCCTCCGCGTGGCCGTCCAGGCCATCTCAGGTGCGTGCGGGCAGCAAGGGCTGGCTCTGTCCCTTCACCAGTGGGGACCCCTGGGCGGGGAGCCAGCCTCACCCAGGCCCCCACTCCTCTGTCTTTTCGTGGCTTCCCGGATGGCTGCCAGGCTGATTCCCAGATGGGGCCTGCAGGAGAAACCCCGGTTGCCCGGCTCTTGGCTCTGGTCTCCTGGACTCTTCCTGATCAGCTGGGGCGGCCAGGGCTGTGCAGGCTGAGCCCAGGGCGGACTGAACCCACTCTGGTTCCAGTTCCCCCATCAGGCAGCCCAGGCAGGCCTGGAGACCCAGCCTGGCACAGAGGCGCCCTCTCCAGCTGCCCTCAGCCCCAGGACGGGCACGCCGGCTTCCCACCCTGGCCCCGGCTCCTCCCACCGCAGCCCCAGAGCCTCCCCAGCTTTGTCCCTCTTCGGACCCCTGGGCCTCCCAGGTGCTGGCCTGTCTGTCCGGAAGCTGCAGATCCTGCCTCCACTGTGGGCTGGGGGATACAGGCCCTTCTCTGCAGAGGCAGACACCCCCTCACTGCCCAGTCACCTTCCTGGCTCCCCACCTCCTGGCTGGGGCCCCAAGGCTGGTAGCTGCAGGGCATCTTTGAGCCTGGATTTGCTCCCCTGAAAATGGCGCTCCCTCTGACGCCGCCTACCGTCAGGAAGATGGAGAGGCCATTAGAGAACACACGCGGGAGCGCGGGGCCCGAGGGCCTGGTGCTCGCTGGAAGGCCTTGGGCCGGCGGCTCCTCGGGACCCCCTTTCCTCTTCAGGGCTTGGCTGCCCGGGCACCTCGGGGAGAGGACGGGCGGACGATCAGAGAGCCAGCTGCAGAGCAGCTGTGGCTGAGGCAGGCCTGGCGTGGGGTGTGAGCAGCCTGGGTGGCCTGCGCTCCCACGGCTGTCCCGTGCCACCCCAGCTGATCCCCCTCTGCCTGGGTAGCCTGGCCTCTTCGGGTGGTTTGGAGTCCACCCTTAGTCCACCCTGTGCCAAATTCTCACCTGCTTGTGACTCCCAGTCATGTCAGGTAGTGCTGAGACCCCTGGGGCCCAGCTGGGACGGGAGTGGGGGCGGCTCTAGAGAAGAGCCAGGTGACAGGGACGCTGGGAACGCCCAGTGTCACCCTCGTTCCTCGGGGGGGCCCTGCCCCTCGTCTCCAGGGGCCCTGTCCTCCCCGGACTCTTCCACGGCCCCTCCTGTCAGCGCCGCCCCCGCCGAGCCGCTGAACAGCCTGCTGTCTATGCAGTGTTTGGGCCACACCTGACTAGTGGCCACGGGGGAGGAGATGGGACTTAAAAAAGCCACCGATCCCTGCTTCAGTGGTTTCAGAAGCCACACCTGCCCCTGCGCCCACCATGGCGAAGGTCAGCTGGTCTGGGCTCCCAGCACCGGGCCCTTCCCTGGGCCGTGGTGGGACAGGGCTTCGTGCCCTGGGGCGGCCAAGGCGGAGAGCACGGTGGCGGCAGTGTCCCTGCAAGGCTGCAGAACGGAACGCTGGAGCCGCTCAGGTCTGAGGCCGCCTGGGGCGGCGTCCAGCCAGCGTGGCTGGAGCCAGGGGTCGAGGAGGCTGTCAGAAGCCAGATCTGGGGGTCCTCGGGCAGCAGGAGAAGGGTTTGGGTTCTGTCCCAAGCACAGAGGGGAGCCTTGAACGTTCAAAGAAGGGCTGTTGAGAGTGTGCTGGGCACTGAGCGTCCAGACGGGTGACGACGGCGGCAGAGGGACAGGCGTGGTTCCCAGATGTAACCAGGAGGACCTGGTGGGCAGGCTCGGCCTGTTGAGGTTCCTGTGTGCTCGGCCCATCCCGGCGGCTCTGCCTGGCCCTGCCACTGCTCCTGGGGACGAGCCAGGCCCCGACTGTCTGCTCCCCCCGGGGTGAGCTAGGCCCTGACTGCCCACTTGGTTTCCATTTCAGCTGATGAAGAGGCCCCTGATTATGGCTCCGGTGTCCGCCAGTCGGGAACTGCCAGAATCTCCTTTGATGACCAGCACTTTGAGAAGGTACCATGCACGCGTGGCTCAGCCATCGACACTGGAAGACAGGCCTCCAGCCCGACTCGCACTCCGGGCCAGCCGCGGGCGCGGGCTCCCCCTGGGGCTGTCGCTCGTCTTCCCTAGCAGAGCCTCGCGGTGCCCTGTCCCCACGTCTGACCTGCTCTGACCCACCGGGTCCATCTCCCCACCTCCAGCGTCTCCGTGTCTCATACCTGCGCTCCCCACCCGGCCCTTGGTCCAGGCAGGGGCACAGAGCAGGGATGCACCACAAGCTTCCGGAGCAGACTCCAAGACTTCTCCCCCTCTGGTTCCCCTTCTCGCAGGCTCCCTCCCCTGGGGGTTCCCCCAGAACCCCAAGTTTCCACCACTCTCTTTACCCCCCCACCCCTGACATCCCAGTGAGAACTAGGAACGCCCCCGTCAGGCCCCTCCACAGTCCCCACAGCAGGTGCTGGGGTGGCTCTGCTTTGGTGCCGAAGGACGAGGTGCTGCCCCTTCTGGTCCTCACTTGACGGGACGCTGCCTTCCACCAGGGCGTCCCTTTCTGCTCTCTGGCGAGAGGGTGGCAGAGCAGGGTCCCACTCTGCCCCCAGATTGGGTGGTTCCTCCTCTCTCCTCCTTATGCTCTTTACTAACCCGACCCCCTCTGACCCCCACCCTGAACCGCAGTGCTCCTGCAGCCCTGAGCCCAGAGCTCCCCAACACTGACTCTCTTGGAGGGGTCGTCAGTGCTGGGGTGCACGGAGGGGGCAGCAGGAGGCTGTGCGGGCACCCGGTGGCGGGGTCCCTGGCCAGGGAGCTCAGGGGAGCGGGCAGGCCTGGCTGGGGTGAGGGGGCAGAACTGAAGGCCAGAGACCATTTCCCAGCCTCCTTTCCTGCTTTGCAGACTAACACAAGCCACGACGCACAAGAAACGAGGCCCAGGGAGGCGGGTGCCTGTCCGCGGCAGGGGCGGGCCAGGAGCTAGGCTCTGGGGTCCTCAGTGGGGCTGTGTTGGCCACACCCGGCTGGCTCCTTCTGACTCTGGTTCCCCATCTGCAGTTCCAGTCCGAGTCCTGCCCCGTGGCGGGCTGTCGCGCTCCGGGACCTCCCAGGAGGAGCTGCGGATCGTGGAAGGCCAGGGCCAGGGCGCAGACTTGGGGCCCTCGGCCGACGAGGTCAACAACAACACGTGCTCGGGTGGGTCACCGCCGCTGCCCGACGGGCTCCAGGGTGACACCCCCTGGCCTGGAGGCACACGTGGTGCCAACCAGCCCTGAGCCCGGGCTCATGCCCCTCTGGTCTTGGCTCCCAGCAGCCGTGACCCCGGAGGGCCTCCTGGACAGTCCGGAGAAAGCCGCCCTGGACGGGCCCCTGGACGCCACCCTGGACCATCTCAGCCTGGGCACCACCTTCACCTTCCGTGTGACTGTCCTGCAGGCGTCCAGCATTTCTGCTGAATATGCCGACATCTTCTGCCAGTTCAAGTGAGCCTCTCCCCGGGCCGGGCTGTGCCGGTGGGCCTTGGCAAGGAGCAGGCCGTGCGGGGGCACCCTGGCGACCCCTGGTGGCCGTGGGTTCCCGTCCCTGGTCTCCGCACCTGCCAAACGTCTCCTCTTGCTTCACAGCTTTATCCATCGCCACGACGAGGCCTTTTCTACGGAGCCCCTGAAGAACACAGGGCGGGGGCCCCCACTCGGCTTCTACCACGTCCAGAATGTACGTCCTCAGAGCCCCCTTCTCCTTCTGCGGCCGATGGGCCCCTCCCCGGGTCTCCGGCTTTGCCCGGCCCCCCTGAGACAGCTGAGCTTCATTCGTGCTCTCGGCCCTCTTCTGCGCACAGCCTCGTGCTAGGCGTGAGGACACCGGGCCTCCGGTGCCCGGCGGGGGCCTGTGGGCCATTGCTAGGCAGTGGGGAGGCCTTGGTGGTCTAAGGCAGATCAGAGCCCTGAGAGCCCTCTGCAGCGAGCCCTGGGCAGACGTGGATGGGATGTGTCTGAGGTGGCTGGGGTTTGCGTTGAGGCCGGGGTGCTTGGCGAGGCAGGCCTGGCCTGGTGCTGGGGGCGAGGCAGAGGCAGAGCACACAGACAGCTGCAGGGACAACCTGGAGAGGCCAGAAAAGCTCCAGGCCCGGGAGTGCAGGGTCCTGGCCCGAGGACGGGATTTTTTGGTGTGAGGCTGGAAGACGGGGCCACGATGGATCCTGCTGGGTGGCAAGCCCTTGAGGGCCAGGCTGGGGAGTGTGTTTGACTCTGAGCAGCCCAGCTGGTGGGTGTGTGGTCAGAGACGTCCCAGAGGCCCTGCTCCAAGGGCCCTGCGCATGTGGACTGTCCTGACCCCGGTGGAGGGGAGCTCCCAGTGGTTTCTAATCCAGGGAATCCAGGCCAGATCTGAAGGTGCGCTTGGAGCCATTTCCCGGGCTGTGCTATGAGGCCCCACACCCTGGGGCTCCGACACAGAAAGCTGCTGCCTCTCAGCTCTGGGGGCTGGAGGCCCGAGACCCAGTGGGCAGGGCTGCTCCTTCCGAGGCCGGGAGGGAGAGTCTGCTCCCGCCTCTGCCCTTGGCTGTAGACGCCGTCTTCGCCTCAGGTCCTCATGTCATCTTCCCTCTGTGCGAGCCTGTGCCCTGCGTCCCCGTCTTACAAGGACACCAGTCACGTTGGACTGGGCTCATACCAATGACCTCATTCTAACTTGATTGCCCCTGTAAAGGCTTTGTCTCTAAACATGTGTGCTGGGGCTGGGACTTCAACAAACGGACCTGGGGGCAGACACAGCTCACCCGTAACTCTTGGTGGGGGGCCAGGGCCCGAGAAGGGTGAGATCAGGCTGCCGAGGCCCTTCCCCAGCTCTGTGTTCTGAAAGAGCAGCTGCGCCCGTGGCCCCCAGGCCCACCGTCTCGGGGAGGGAGCCTCAGTGCCGCTGCCCGGTGGCGTGCCCACTGGGTGTGAGACGGGAGGAGAGGCGGGGCTGGACGCACCCGGCTGAGGCGCGCCGTGCTGTCGCGTGGGCAGGGGTTGGCCCGGCCGGGGTCTCCGATCTGGGCCTGGAGTGCCGGGGTCTCTGTGACTCTCCTCTCTGTTCCTGACCACACATGGCCGTGTCCCCTCCCGCCTGCTTCACCCTCAGATCGCGGTGGAGGTGACCCGGTCCTTCATCGAGTACGTCAGAAGTCAGCCCATCGTCTTCGAGGTCTTCGGCCACTACCAGCAGCATCCGTTCCCGCCCCTCTGCAAGGACGTGCTCAGGTCAGCCGCCCGGGCACCGGGGCCGTGGGGGGTCATCGTGGGGGTTGTGGGGTCATCACGGGGGTCGTGAGGGTCAGGGCCCCTCCCCTTCCGGGCCAGCAGGGCCGGCCCTCACCCTAGACAGGCCTGGTGGCGTCAGCAGAGCCATGTGCCTCCTAATCGCCCCCCTCCCCATCAATGAACAGGGGGCCAGTTTCCCAGGTCGACAGGACCCAGAGCGGGTCACAGGCCCCTCCGGACGGAAGGGGGATTTTCTGAAGAGGTCGCTGTCAGCCCCTTGCCTCGGTTGGCCGTGGGCAGTGTCCCGGGGTTGAGGAAAGCCAGGCGCGGGGCTGGAGGAAGCCAGGTGGCCCACAGAGGAGGCGGCCTCTGCTGCCCACTCAGAGCTCTGGTGAAGGGCCCAGGTGTTCCGTCCCCCAGAGCCCTCAACACCTGAGACTGAAAAAGGGACGTTCGTCCTGCTCCCTCGTTGCTGCCACCTGCTGGGGGCTCGGAGGGTGCGTCACGACCGCCCACCCTACCCCGAGTCAGGCGAGAACCCAGGATGGGCGTCAGGGGCACCGGGACCCTCTGTTGCCTCCCACACCTCCCTGCGCTCTCAGCTGACGTGAGGAACCAGCGTGAAGCATCCGGGGTGCTGGGGAAAGAGAAGGGCCCTGAGAGGAGCTGGTTTTATGGCATTTGACCCCAGCAGCCTCGTCTGTGTTCGGGGTGCCAAGGGGGCTGTGTCCTAGAAGCCCCTGGACCAAGAACCAGCGTCTGACCTCACCCAGTTCTCCTGGCCTCAGAGGGCCTCCTGGGCAGGGTCTGAGGGGCCCTCCTCCTCCATCCAAGCTGGTGGGGGCCTGAGACAGGGCCTTTCTCAGGCCCTGTGGGAGGCAGGGGGGAGCAGGCCCTTGCTTGGGGTCAGGATGCTGCTGGTCCCCTCTGCCAGCTCCTGCCCTCGGCTCCCCGCTGCAGCTCAGCGTCCTGCGGGCACAGCCCTCTGTCTCCTCACACTGGCGCTTCTGTCTCCACAGCCCCCTGAGGCCCTCACGGCGCCACTTCCCACGTGTCATGCCACTGTCCAAGCCAGGTAGGTGGGACTCTCCTGCGTGCACCCCCAGGCGGGTGGGCGCCGGGCGGGCAGGCCCTCCACAGCTGAGCACAGTTCTGGTGATGGCTCTGTGCTCTCCATGCTCCTGGGGCCACCCTGCACCTACTGGGCCTCGCAGGGTCCCCGTGGAGTGGGGGGCACAGGGTGAAGGCACAGGGATGCCGCTATGTCCTTCACCCCTTGCTCTGCACAGGGCAGCAGGGTGCAGGTCGGGTGCCTGCCCTGTGTCCCCGTGAGGCTGCCAGCAGCAGGCAGAGAGGCACCGGGGCCTCAGTGAGGCAGGGCCTCTGTGCTGGAAGCAGGTGTTTGGGAGCTGAAGCAGGCTGCGGCTGAAGGGGGCGCAGCGCTGGGCTCCGGGGCGGGTGCTGGGGCCTCCGACTGAGTGTGGCTGTGGGGTCTCAAGCCGCTGCCCACTCTTCAGGGGCCTGTGCCCAGGTGCATGTGGCCATGTGCCCCCCTCCCCGGGCACGAAGAAGCCAGCAGCCACATCTGTTCCCCGGGGTGGTCACCGAGGCCCGACTGCGCCCAGCGTGGGGCGTCTGGGTTGTGGGTGGGGACCTGCGAATGGCTTCTCTTGGAGGGAGATGCCCTCGCTGCTGCTGAATGTGCCTTGGCACGTGATGGGTCAGTTTCTCATCAGTGCTTGCCTGTCTCCTGCCACCCCAGTGCCTGCCACCAAGCTCAGCACGCTGACGCGGCCCTGCCCGGGGCCCTGCCACTGCAAGTATGACCTGCTCGTCTACTTCGAGATCTGTGAGCTGGAGGCCAACGGCGAGTGAGTCCCAGCGCCCGGGCGGCCCGTGCTGGCGTCGGGCTGGCTTCCCCCGGGGTCGTGGGGAGGGCTGGGGCTGGTCAGGGTGGCCCAGCTGACTCGGTCTCCGTGGTCTGGGCCACCCACCGTCACCAGGGGGAGCAGCTGGTTTTTTCCTGTTCTCACCCTTTTCCCTCCTCGGCGCGGGTGCCTGTGCTGTGGGTGGGGCCCTCACCTCTCCTGTGTGTCTCCCAGTTACATCCCTGCAGTGGTGGACCACCGTGGCGGGATGCCTTGCATGGGGACCTTCCTGCTCCACCAGGTGCGAAGCCCTTTCTGCCCTTGCCCTTGCCCGCCCCCTGCTCCCTCCCCGACCCTGCGTGGCCCCCAGACCATCTGACCATGTCCTCTCTCCCGGTGCCTGGCAGGGCATCCAGAGACGGATAACTGTGACCCTGTTGCACGAGACAGGCAGCCACATCCACTGGAAGGAAGTGCGCGAGCTGGTCGTGGGTGAGTGAGGCGGGTGGGGGCTGCTCTGGGGGCTGGGCAGGGTTGGTGGGAAGAGCACAGACCCCCACCCCTACCCCCAGCCCCCGGGCCAGACGCCTGAGTTCTGACTGCAGCTCTGCTCCTGGTGCTGTGTGACTTTGGCTGAGTCACTGAGCCTCTCTGTGCCTCAGTGCCTCCCCTGAAAAGAAGGACCTGGATCCAGGAGATGACCCTACATTCCTATTTAATCACCGCATTAGTTTGCTAGGGCTGCTGTAACAAAGCAGCACGAACTGGGTGGCTTAAAACAACAGAAACGTACCCTGCCGTGGTTCTGGCGGCTTCCGTCGCCAACTATTTCATCTACCAGAAATGCTTCTTTCGCCAAGCTGTAAAGAGCTTGTCCACATTCCATTCAAGGACAGGGACAGCTGTCCACTCCCATGTGTCATCGGCTTGAGGCCACCGCCCCGCCCTGCCCTGGAGCTGCGGGTCCCCGGAGGCCATGTGTCGGCTGTTTCTGTGTCCAGTGGGCCGCGGCTCACGGGCAGTGTCCCTGGGACTCGCAGAGGCGGCTCTGAGGGTGTAGCAGCAGGGCAGTATGAGGGACCCATTGTCCTGCAGCCTGAAGTGCGGGATTGTGGGCAGGGAGGTGGTGGGGGCCCCAGGACAAATGCTTTTATTCTAGACATTCGGTGTCTGTCTTCACATGAGACAGAAAAAGGATAGAACAAACACACATATGCCCATCTCAGATGTTTTTAGGGCAAATCTAAAAGCAGTGCATCAATTTAAAGAAAAAGATTAAGCGGATGCCCAGCTCGCTGACTGACCCTCCGCACGTGGACGGGGACGGATGTCCGGGTGGGGCAGTGCCGCCTTCTCCTTGAGCCTGTTCTGCCTGGAGAGCCGGAGAGAAGGGTCTGCGCCTCCCGCTGACCTGGCTCAGGCCTGGGAGGGAGGCGACGAGCTTCCGTCCCTGGTGGAGTCTTTCCCTGACACCCCTCCCCGTTGCCCTCAGTCCTAGGACAGTGACTGGTGTCCAAGTGTGTACACAGAGGCCACACCCTCACTGGCCTTGGGGAAACCAGGCCCTGGTCCCAGGACCCCACCTTCCTCTCTGCTCCCCTTACCCCCAGGCTGCCTCCCTTTCGAAAATGCGAACAGGAGTGTTTGTCTACGTGGTTGAAAGGGATTTAGGGAGATGCTGGTATGGACGCCAGGCCCTCACTCTGGGTTCAGGGGTTCGGGCTCTGCCTCTGTGGGCTCCATGAACCTCGCAGGCCTGTGAGTGCGTGGCTCGGCCTGTCCGGGGCTCCCTGGGCATCAGCGTTTTGTCGGGCTCTGAGCCAGCAGAGTCCCTCCGCAGGGCCTCCAGGGGGCGGGAGGGGGCGAGGGGGGCGGGGCTGGCCCTGGCAAGTGCTCTTCCTGCAGCTTAACCCTCCGCAGCAGGGGGTCCTGGGGGGCCCGCCCCCCTCAGCCTCCAGCCGCGGGGACACACTGCTGGGGGGACACTTTTTAGGAAGCCCCCGCCCGCCTCCTCCCAGAACTCAAATGTTGCAGGAGGCTTCCAGGAAGCGGAGCAGGCAGCCCTGGCTGCAGACGCAGAACCCCGGCCGAGCGCTGGGCTTTGCTTCGTCTCCTGGCGGGGAGGCTCGGTGACTCCTCTCTGGCTTAACAGAGAAAGCGAGCTAGTGCTTGTTCCTCAAGGAAGCAGAGCGGCCAGCTTAACCATCACCACCAGAGCAAGGCGTGAGG